GTGCCGTACTGGCTACACTACTCAACGATAGAACACACGATGAGACAGTCTCCGCATTGGTATTGCAGTTACGCTTATCGACACAGGCAGCAGCACCGGTTTGCTGTTTTCATACGTATAAAGTGCACGGGAAGCCATACCTGACTGGCTTATGGGAGAGCTGACTGGCTTTCGGGCGGGTGACTGCCACACCGTGTAAATTACCAGCGCACTGACTGCCAAACCGGGTGGGCACAAAAGTATATATATATAAATATATATATATATATAAATATATATATATATATATATATATATATAAATATATATATATATATATATATATATAAAATATATATATATATATATATATGAATTTGAACGGATGGTGTTTTTGGCTTCTAGGAACATCAAAATGAAAAAGTAAATCGGTCCCGGGACTAAGTCTTACCATGAGACCTACGGTAATAGCTTATTCCCTATAGGGAAATTCGCTAAAAACACAAAGGTAATCTTATACCATTTGCCCTCGATAAGCCATTATTTCAACAATATCCTTCAAATGATGTCCTTGAAAATGTTGACATTCTTCGAGTAAAAAAAAGAAGAAAAACCCGTCGAATACGCTTTCAAGCAATTCTTGAGGAATCGCTTGAAACCTCTTTGGGATTCTCTGCCTGAGATAGAGGAGGCATCTTGTATCTTGTAGGGTTTGAAATCTAGATATTGATGCAAAATCCTTCCAAGAGAACTCCTAGAAATTTGAAGTGCCAAGTACTTTTTCCTGACGGACTTTGACTGACGCGGCTCGTTCTCCACATCGACTGGTGTGCAAAAAGTTTCCAAAATTCTTTTTTTTATTTTTTTGTTGACGCCGCTCTTCTAAATAATTATGAAATTTCCAGTTCTCTATCGTTAATCGACTCAGAACATATACGAATATAGGAATCATTATTCTAAAAAAAAAACCTTTCCACAACAAAAACACTGTGTCCAGGATTCCAAAAAGCCATATTTACTAAAACTGTATCGTTCAATTTTGTTTATGAGCACAGCTGTTTACTCATTGTTGCAATATTCATCTGGAAGCTAAAATAAATCGTTTGGTTCTTATTGCACCATCCTATATAAATACGATTTAAAAAATGATTCAGCAGTCAACAGCCCAAATGATAAATATCTCTAAGCAGAGATATTTTCATGTATTAATTAACATCCAAACATTCCAGTGTGTTTTCTTATTGGATATATTTAAAAGACAAAAAATAAACCAGAATTCATATTTCAAGACAGAGGTAGCCTAAGTAATCTTTGGTGAAAAAATTAGATCAGTTTTTGTTCCCGACTGAGAATAGTAGTGTTTTAGCTAGGATCAATTATCGAAATCCCATCAATCAAGGATAGCTGGGTCTAACTATGAAAAAGGTTATGGGGGTTTCCTATACAAACGTGCATAATTCTGAATAGTAGGTGAGCTGGTAGGAATTAACCCTCTTACAATTATAGCTAAACCTCAAATTTATTATCATAATTTACTTGCTAAGCAAAATACTAAACAATTTAAGAATGAATTTTCAGATTTTTCCCACGAGGTTAAAAATTAGTTTAGTTATTCATTTGCCTTTTCTCCATTTTACTAATTCTGGTATAAATATAATACCTAAATATTATATCATATTTCCAAACAAACTGAAGATATAGTAGCCAATATAGTACTACTACTCAGACCACACACAAAAACTATTTATTTATCAGGATTCTGCGACCTTTAAGTTATAAATGGTTTTTGCTATGATTTTATGATCTTTTTTTTTTATTCAGTCGAAGACTTTAAAAACTGCAGTAAATTGTAAATAAAATTTATTTACTATTGATTTCAGTATGACTAATGATAGTCAATCGTATAACTAAACACTACCCAACAAAATTACGATTCGATTGCACCTTGTTTCCTGACCAAATCCGGGAAAGTCGCAAATAATAATAATATCAATAATTCATGAGCTACGTCTTTATTTCATATGACGTTTTAATAACCCCTGTTGTTATGTAAGGTTTCCAGAACAATTATTTCGTAATTATTTGATTTTCAGGAAATACCAGTGTAATGATTGTTAAGGAACAACGAGAACTATAATAACATGAGATAGTTTCGACCTTGCAGACCATTGCGACGGATTAAGCAAGGTGGTTGACTTTGCACACGTGATCAGGTAGCTACGTGCCTGGTAGCTCAATTAACATCAGACATTGACAATTTGAAGGCCGAGCTTTGATTGAGGAGTGGCTTAACACAGATGAGTAGTGGCTACATGTCAGAATCTGGGGACCGAGCTTTGATTGAGGAATTATTTGAGACAGGTGTGTAGTGGCTACGTGACTAGTTATTTGTGTACCATTGGTCTTTGAGCCTCTGAGGGCCGAGCTTTGATTGAGGAATTATTTGAGACAGGTGTGTAGTGGCTACGTGACTAGTTATTTGTGTACCATTGGTCTTTGAGCCTCTGAGGGCCGAGCTTTGATTGAGGTATTATTTGAGAAAGGTGTGTAGTGGCTTCGTGACTAGGTATTTGTTTACAATTGATCTTTGAGCATCTTAGGGCCAAGCTTTGATTGAGGAATTATTTGGGACAGGTGTATAGTGGCTACGTGACTAGGTATTTGTTTACAATTGATTTTTGAGCATCTTAGGGCCAAGCTTTGATTGAGGAATTATTTTAGACAGGTGTATAGTGGCTACGTGACTAGTTATTTGTGTACCATTGGTCCTTGAGCATCTGAGGGCCGAGCTTTGATTGAGGAATGACTTCAAACACGTGTGTAGAGGATGCGTGATTAACTATTTCACATATGGGGGCCAAGTTTTGATTACCAGGGATTTTTCTTCTTATTACTTTTTGTAATGTTGGTCATTGATCGATTAGGTTGTGTCATGTAGTACAGTAGGCCTAATTGATATCCTTATCGCGGCCTTGTAAAACGGAGAAAACTGTTTTTTGACATAGGGGACAGGGGACTGGACTTTGCTTAAGGGGCAAGTGCTGAGCTATCTGCCATGTACTTCTTATGTAAAGCTAGTTATATAAATTTTTGTGGAAAGTAAAGGATACGTTTTGAGTCACCAAATTAAATAAGATATTTATGGAATATCCATTACTACTAGGTGTTTTTTTTTTTTTTTTAGCTTCGACTAGTTTTCAGAAATTTGGTTACTTTACAATACTTGTCAATTCTTAAGTTAAGCACGATATCTAATTTACAACGAAATTCATAGAATTAAGACTATTAACTGTGCAAACCAAAGTACTTAGGTTACCTTTTACTTAAAAAAATTAGTTAGCAATTATTATGATTAGTAACTAATCAACAATACTGATAAGTAACTGTTATCAATAATATAAATTTCGTGTGAGGACTTTATAGGTATAGATAAACTAGTATCCAACACGACAATGAGAAAATTTGTAAATTTGAGGATTTATATATTTTATTTTCATTGAAAATACTAAGATAAGGAAATAATATAAAATAATTGTTACATCCTTAAAAGTCATGATATATTAATTTATGAACCCATCAACAACAAAAAGAAGGGTAAAAAACGATAGAATTTTTTTTCATGTAGTACATTCAATCCTATTTGTTTTGGAATTGCGAATGGATCGATAAAACAACTTAGCTAATTCACATCAATCATTTCCAGATGAATAAATGTTTTTCAAATACAGGGTAAGTGCTATGAATACCGCATTTATACAAGGCCAAAAGATACGCATAATTTAAAATGCAAATTTCCCGTCTCTAGTGGTTTCATACGTAAATAAAAGGGCTTTAATATAAAAAAGTAATATTATAATGATTAAAAGCTTTTATAAAGCCCCTTATACGCGATTGTAGATTTTATATTTGAGTGTGACACAACCCATTGGATCTCAGTTGTTAAAAAAGTAAGAACTCTAGACTTCAATTATAATGGTAAGGTTCAAATCCAGCCAATAACTAATGCGTTTTCTCTATGGCAATATATCGTATGTATTAAAAATACATATTTTAATACAATGTAAAATTTGAAACATAATTCTTTATTTTAAAAATACTTACAGTGTTCAATGTGATTTTAAAATCATAACATTGCTGTAATTTAAATTTCATAAATTGCTATGTTTACTTAACAAATTAATATATGTATATATTTTTTTTTATAAATTAATAATGTATTGACATTAGGTTAAACTTTTCCCCTACGCACAGCAATTCTCTATTTTGGAACTAGAAATTTGTGTGTATTTAAAGTTCTAAAGTAATGAATTTTGTACTATTTAGTTAAATCACCACCATAGTTTACCAATGCCTAAGGAACAAAAGTATACAAGCTTTTTTACAAGAAATTTACCCCTATAGTGCATTATCTTGCATTAACATCAAAAATTCTTAAAAATATTCTCTTTTAGTTTTCAGAAAAAGTGTCCAAGAGACATGGATAATGGAACATATCTTGTGGAAGGCCTTAAATTGAAGACCTTGAGGATCCAGGAAAAGAAACAGACCTAACAAAATGGAGACGAATGGTAGGGAATTAAACTAAGAAAAAATATAAGGGCCTTAGGGAAAATCGAAGGCGTTAGTGGTATATATGAATGAATACCCTATGCTGCCAGGGGAAAAGAAGAAATTAAGTAAGTAAATAGTGGAGTATGTAAGTATTTTTTTTAATATATACGTTTTGGAATTTAATACAGGAAATTTAACTTATAAGATTAAATAGTTCAATCTCCCTTTTTAGCTACGTACAGAATCAAGCCCGTCGCACTTATACTAAAGCCAGATGATGACGACTAGGAAGAAATCGTTATTTTACAATGTTATATAACTTATAAATCTATAGGGTAATACATTTTAAAATACCTTAAGAAATATATGTACAACATTTTAAAATCATAAAAAATATTTTGGCACAAAATATTAAAGATAAAAACAAAAATAACACACGAAAATAGAAAAAATAAAACTTTTCACCCTACCTGTCGTCCACATAATCTGGGATATGTACTTCGCTACATCGATACACTGACTGACTGACTATCCCTCACACACACGACCTTGTACTACTACACTTGCACTTGCACACTCAACCATTATAACAAAAAAATGTGGATTGCGAAAATAGTTAAGGCAGACTAGTATAATTATCTACCACTGCATCGCATGTGCCTTTGCTTGACGTTTTGATTTCCCACTTCGATAAGGCGAGAAAATTGTGGTAGTTAGTAGGTACATGGCTTAATACATTAGTTAACTCAAGGTGTCATTAGGACTTATTGGTTAAATGATGGTTACAACCACGGTTTGAATTGGTTGCAAATTGGTTTGTGAGATTACTTTATTGTTTTGCGGTTTTGTTCGCGGTTGGCATTATGGGTCGTTAGTCAGTAATTGAGAAGCTTAAAGGCTTTATGAAAGGCTTTATGAATATTGAATCTGGTTTTTAGTGTTTGGTTTTATTCAATTTTATTGTGTAAATTCGTAAATGAAAAATTCGATTTAAATTTCGTATTTTTTATGGGTTGAATAGTTCAATTAACAATAGAAATGTATGGTAAAGAATCGTTTTCTTACAAAAAAAATTAGGCCTCTCCGCCTCTAACAGCTAAATTTGTACTATACAGTATTATATAACTCCTTTTAAAAATGTCATCGGAATAGAATTTACTATTATATAAAAAGTTTTTTCTTAGGGTACAAATATTTTAAGACTTTTGGCTTTAAAGCTACGCAGCATATGATAAAGTTAAAACTAATTCGGTAATACGAACAGTTATTTCTTTTTTTTAGATCACAAACAAAAATTCCTAAAAAGTTTCCTAAAAAGTTTTAAAAATTTATCCTACACTAAATGATTGACTAAAATGACTTTTTCATATTTTTTTTAGTGACTAACCTATTTCGAATATAGGCCTGAGATTCTAATATTAGATAACCGACCACAACCTTATAAAGTAGGGTGATGTAAAATTGTGCGTCTTTGGTTATGAGAGTGCAAGACTTTTGTAATTGTGGTCCATATTCAAATTACGCCAATTTCAGACAATATATTCTGGGCTATTATAAAAACACCGCTGCTCTATGTTGTTCATTTGACACATTTTACTAGAAAAAAAAATATATTCTGTCCTAGTATGATAAGAAATATGGAGAATTCCATTTTCCATTTGCCAGTTTGATTTCTAAGGTCATAATTTAATAATCAGGAATCACCTCCAAAAATTATTTGCCATGAAAAAGGCACGTGGAAGGAGTGTCTTGTAACGTAATTATGTAAGAATTAGTTAGGCTAATTATTGAAATTATAGCCTAACAAGTTTAGGCCCGGTAGCGATGACGAACCTTGTAGAAATGTGTAAAAAACGTTGTGGCATTATCACGGTCGTTTCATTGCCCATGGCTGGATGTTATATAAGTGTGTTATTATATGTGTTATTTTTGCCAACAACATAACATTGTTAGCATTACTTCTCATCAATTTGTTTTTTCAATTTTACATAAAGAAAATTTTCTTGATGGTTAAATCTAAAATGATTTAGGCCTATGGTAAAATTATTAGTTTACAAATTTAATTAGTTTGTATTAAAATAAGATGAGGTATATACCAGACGTGTACAAATTGCAATTATAATAATAAGATTTTTATGGACATAATTATGTTTGTTTACTTGGTCTTGTGTGTTTGTAATATGTAATAATGTAAGTATGACTATTGTAATGTGTAATGTAATGTGCCTATGATTTTTAATCTAAATGCTTAAAGCGAACTATCAAAAATTATATGTATTTTAGATTCAAGCTTGCCTATTCCAGGTTATGCCGAATTGATAAGCAAATAAAATTCAAGGTATCAATTTAGAAGAAAAAACTAACAAACCAAACCTAAAAACCTAGAGTGAAAGAATTTAGTTTATATTACTCATTACAACCACGATATTTATTTATAGGTGGTAAAGTTTAGCAGCTTCTACATAAATTTTCTGTAAAAACCAGTTTTATGGTAATTGGATTGTAATATGCTACTCTTAAGATTTTTTTTAATCCGGACAGCGATTACAAATAAATCTATTTTCAAGAGCTTTGGTTGGTTGTAGCTTACACTGGAGATCATATTTATAGCCCTCTCATATAGCTGGAGGATTTCTTTTATGTGTATTATTTGCAATTTATATTCTAATCAATATATTATGCAAGTATGTATCTCCTTGCTATAGCCAATACGTTCTTGAAAGCCGAGGTCAATATCAGCTGTCTGCAGTTGTAAGGGAAGGGTTTGTCGATTGATAAATATGAGGATAAACCTTGGATTGTGCAGTCATTCATCAAATTGACATTACAAAATATATCTTTGTAACGGTTAAGCTACGTTTCCATTCCTACAAATTTGTGCCGGGCACATGTGCCCGCCGTGTGCCCGGCACAAATCTCCGAATTTGTTGGAATGGAAACAGTCTGGTACAAGTCACGGCACAAGTGCCCGGCACAAATTTGTGCCCGCCGACTGCGCGACAAAACATGTGCCCGAGTCGCGGGCACATGTGCCCAGTTGGAATGGAAACGGCTGGGCACATGTACCTGCAACTCGCGCATGCGCAATCCTCCGAACTACTGCATGTTTATAGATGACAGGTAATTATATCTTTAAATTTCGTTGAGTTCGTTGGAGGACATTTTTGAAGCCACTTTGTACGCGCAAATCTCTCATCAATTAATTAAATGCTCCTTCCTATGGTCAATTATCAATTATATAAGATGGGGACGCCACTATGTGCGGATTTTAACCCAAATATGACTGATGGTCTTTTAGCCAAAAAACTTCTTATCCACCATCTAGGTCGTTTTCTTCTTAGTTCATTGTATGCACCAGCCATAAATAAAAAAGCAGAGGATGTTATGTCATCCATGGGGATTTGTAGAACACAATACAATCAAAATCACCACCGAACTTCACCACACCACTTGCCTGCCAGTTGTAGTCACGGGACTTGTGCCTAGAATGGAAACGGCATGACAAACTACGTGCAACATGTGCCGCGACATGGTCTCGACATGTGCCACGACTTGTGCCTGCCACTTGTAGGAATGGAAACGTAGCTTTAGGTTATACAATAATGATCAATATGTTTAGTGTATAGATAGTGCTTGTCAAGATTTCTAGCTTCAAATAGCTGAATTATTTTAAAGCGGCAATTAAATCATGTATATAAATTATTCTACAAGACAAGTTAAAAAAACTTATAGTAATTTTTGTTTTGGTACCAGTAACGATTAAAATTTTAAAATATATAAACCATTTAACTGATATCTACAAAAAGTTTGATTATGTGACTATAGTAATTGCACCACCATTAGTAATTACACAATTCAATATATATATATTTATTATGAAACAAACTAGAAATAACAAATTGTTCATAAATATTAGTTTTATTTTACCATAAATAAATTAGAATGGCCTGGTATTTTAAGTTTTTCTTAGTTACTGTTGCTTAAGTTTTCCAATATATTAATGCATACGGTTGAAATTTAAAAATATATTGATTGTTAAAATATTTACAAAAAAATAAAAATAAATTTTAGGCCTATAACATACAAAGATCGCCATAAGCATTTTATTTTCTCTATTAGATCAAATAAAATAGATTAATTTTCTTTCGATTTAAAATATTTTTGGGATGAATATAATTCCCTATTGGATAGATTTCAATATATAAAATGCCCGAGTAAACATTGTGAAGAAAAATATACCAATAAAACTTGTAATTTGTCAATATGAATAAAAAAGTTAAATACAGCAAACGTTTTTGATATCTTTTACCCAAATAAAAATTTACTAGTATATCTAATCCGTCCATGTTAAACTAAAAGTATTTTCATCCTCTAAATGAACGACAATTATTAGCTCATAAAAATGTACCATCTAGCAATTCGGCAAATAAACACTACTATTTTCTTACTAGTCTACAACACAATGTATTTATTGAAATACTAAAGTATTTATATTAATATTATTCTATAACACATACCTATAACATACGGTTAATCCAAAAAGTGCCTCTGCACCTCGACGGGCCAAAACAGAATGTGAAGTTACACGCTCTAACTGCCCAAGTCAACTCGAATGCCCTTGCTCGCCTTTCAAGGTCACGGGTAACCTGTAATTACTATAGTGCTATAAGCTATTAAGTTTTAGCCAGTATAATTGACCTATTACCAAAAACTCACATTAGATTACTATGTTAGCCTTCAGAGCGACAGCCGGGTCAGAAATTAGATTTGGTGCGCACGCCATGTTCCTTCCTCATCTTCAAGGTCACTGAGGTCGATGCTTCCGGAAGATCTACTACCCGAAGAAGTGTTGTTGAGGTTAGGGGAGACTAGAGCAAGTGTGATGGAGGCGGTGGTTTTGAAAGTTGACTAGCTCACGGAAGGATTCGTTGAAGTGGTGTTTGAAGAAATGTTCCAAGAAAATGCCGTTGATGGTCTTACGGTGAGTGAAAGTAGATAAGGAATGTGAGACTTCAGAGGTTGAAGGTTTTTAATAAAGAGTTCTCAAAAACAATTTTAATTGAAATATGTAGTATTTTTCAGGATATACTGCCCTAACGAAAAAAATAAGATTTTATTATTTTACGGTAAGACAAATGGAAGAAACGAAATATTAAAAGGTGAAAGTTTAATTTGTTAGTTTTTGCTATTGAGTATAAATGAAACGTGAAACTAAGAGTATACATTTTCAACCTTGTAATATACGTAAAGGTAACGTAGTTTTTGGGTTTACTTAAAAGTCGCTTATACAGTCTGTTGAAAAAGTCTTAACACACCCAAAAGTAAATTAAACGGTGTAAGAAAAAATTGTGCAACTTCAAGATATCATTACATAACTTTCTAGAGTTTTGCAAGATAATCAAAATTTTGCACCCTTCCCCTTTAAGATTCAAGATATCTATGAACGGCTGCCATTTTTCACTTGGTTACCTGTTTTGAGTTCAGATTTGTGGCATTGTATTATACTAACTAAGAACTTTAAAATAAGGGGTCACAAAATGGGTCTTTATATTTGAAAATCTTTAGTTACGCCCTA